ATCTATCCCTTTCGTTGAGTATATTCCATCCTGGTTTTGCAATTTGGTCCTGCATGAATTGCAAATTCAAGGAACTTACCTCCTACAGCTCTCCCAATTTAGTGGTGTGCTCCTCAGACGTTTCACCAGTTTCATAGTCAGCATTATGAGGTGGAAGGACCAGGCTGACTTTACTACTACTTGTCAAAGGGACAGATGGGGCCAGTTCTGTCAGCCAAGACTCTGTTAAACAGCCTTTACTCTTCTCTCTCCAAAATCTTTCATTCACTTAATAGTAAAACCAGGCAGCTAATTAAATCCGGTATGATGATTTAAGGCTCAGATAATATGAAGATGATATGATAAGGTTAAGGGGAGTGCCAAGCATGCTTATCTGTCACCTTGAAAAGTGGTTTGGTGATAATCCTTACTCGTCTCAGTGATGAGGCCAGCTACTACTTTTACGTTATCGGTCCTAAGTTAGGAGAACGCACGGCTACACTTGTAGTATGAGACAAGTTATTCGACCTAACAAAACACTAAATCATCTTGATCTTCACATTCTTGTCTATTTTTTTATTATTCATCCAATACAAAAAGTATTTTAACTCCCATTTGTTATTTGTGGCGATCTAGTGATATCCTGATCAATACATCTACCTCCTCATTGTTATCGAGAAATTGATAGGAGACATAACTTCGAAGCTACTTTCATAATGTTGGTTATGCAGAAGATCAGTCAAATAGGGAAATTGTGTGCAACGTGACTCCGTTAGATACTTTTTTACATAATCACCTTGACCCCTGAGATGGAACCACTGTCCACTATCTTGTCCTTAATCGTTCCAAAAATGGGCTTCGCTGATAGCCAAAACATCAATCTACTGTCTCCAGTAAAAGAATGATTGAGTACATAGTTGAATTCTTCACATTTAGAAATAACTACTGATATTTCACATGTTAGTGTCGGCCAAACTTCCTCTCCCCGATTAGACGACTAGTCTAGCCTATTTCTACTGACACGAAAAACTCCAGTAATCTTTTGGCCCAAGCAGCATTGTCTACGGTTTTTCAGGTCTAATGCATTATCCATAGCTTGAATCGTGTATAGGGTTGATTGTGATTTACTTAGTATTTGTAACTTAGTTTTGTTCTCAAAGGGACTTTGAAGAGTATGTCCAATACAACCATCTCCGTCCTTCATGTTATGCGTTTATCCAGAATGCGCATTTCAGGGTACATTTTGTGAAGTCTGTCTAAAAAACTACTTAATTGCGAATGTAGCCTACGAACAGACCAATGACTACAACAACATATTGGTCTCTATATCTTAATCTTGTGCAGAAGGACTTTGAGACCATCCCAGACCATTGACTCAGCCAATCACCAGGTCTCTTGCCTGACACTCAGTTTGAATCACAATTGAGAAGGGGGATGCATTTCACGAACTCTCTATGACGCCAAGTATTGCTCTAGGCATTGATGCTACCAACCGCAGACTCCATGAAGCACCTAATAATCGGGTCATTCAATAGTCCGATGCTAAATGAATGCATGCATACAGCAATAAAGACTTTAATCTAAGTTCCCTCGTAGCTGCTGTCAAATCCAGAAAACAAAGCAATACCGCTATCATACTATTTGCATTTAAATTAAGTTTAATTTTTGTTTAGTTCAGCTCTGCAACCAAAACAGGGTACCAGTGCTCATGTAAACGAGCACGTCCTCAAAAACGTGAATCATCTTAGATTGCAGTAGGTGATTTAAAGACTGATACCTGAATTTGCCATAACAATAGGAGCAGGACCTTAAAAAAGTTTTATACTACACGACTTTGCAGCTTCGCACCCGCTCAGGTCTCGTCGGCACCTCTAATGAAACCCGAAACCGGGTCGTGCGCATGAAGTGGCAACTCATTTCTTGGGATTAATTCATTTATTAGTTCTTACATTACCTTAACGGCCTTGGGTGGCTTAAGCTTTTACTCAAAATCTCCTGATTGCTTCGAGTTATACTCATTCATTCATTCTCAGACCGATTTATCATTTTGAGGCTGTCATCTTCGAGCTGCTGAACTTTGTGCGATACCTTTCATCAAACAGTCTAACTTGTTTCAGCTTTCATAGGCGCAAGTGCTTCTAGCTATTTTCATTTTCAAATAGGCTTTTGAGACTGCCAGTAGATCTTGAATAAGAACTGTGTTTACCACATTTCATTTAGGGTGATGAGGGACTGGTAGTTGAATTTTCCCACAATCATATGAGCTTGCCCCACATTTACATTGGATTTCATAACCTTTTTTCCAAAAGACCAGGTAGACAAGTTTATGTGAAATCCAATGTAAACACGGCACCTCCTCATGTGAATGTTGGAAAATTCAACTGCAACTCAACTATCACCTTCAGAGAAATAGGGTGAACACAATTTTATTTCCATCTAGCCTCACTGATGGAGGCACATTCATTTTGCTTCCTTGATGCACTTGTCCAACTCTTTGCATTATTGTCAAGCCTCACTTTTTGCCTTTTTGCCTCGCCTTCCCTTTGAATCTTGCAGAATAGCGGAGGACAAACTGGTATCGACATGAATGTGCGAGATGTCTGGGCTCGCGGATACGCTGGCCAGAACGTCGTGGTCACGGTGCTGGATGATGGGCTCGAGACCGACCATCCAGATCTGGCTGCGAATTACGTATGTGCCCCAACTCACTTTCTACCCGAATCTGTGCCTGCAAATGTACATGTTTGAATGTTAGTTGG